AAAGAAACAAAATTAGTATTGTTATAATTACATTTGGGTGTCTCAAGCAGTGGCTACAATTTGTCTCATTTTGTTGTTGTCTGTACAAATTATGTAGGTTATACAATAATTTTACTAATTTTAAAATTGTTGTTATTCTGTTTTTTACTATATTTGTTTTTGTTTTATACTTTTTGTACATATTTGACTGATTTATTTTTTTAGCTTTGTCCATAAAATTGTTCAATAATTTTTAGTGTACAATAAAGCATATTTCTATTCTCATTCTAATGTTAGGAGTCCTTAAATAAGTCTTTGTTGCTGACATGTATACAAAGCATCCATAACTCAGTCGAGAGCGAATGAGAGATCTTGATACCTTAATTAGGATATTTTCATCTCCAGTGATGGTGTGCTACAGATTTTAATAGATTTAATCTAGTTAAGCAATTAGCTTTGACGTTTGTAATCAGTGGTTTCCATGTTAGTCGACTATCAACAATTAAACCTACTATCTTGTGTTCATTAGCTACTGTGAGCGGAGTACCATTTAATGTAATTTGAGGTAATAATATGCTACGTGTTCTTCGAGTACTTTTGATTTTTCAGCAGAGAAATTAACACCAAAGAAATTAGTTCATTTACTGCTTTCTGGATTAAGTTTGTAGTTGTGAATGTATCTTTACGCCGGCAATATATAATCAGGTCGTCAGCATACCAGTTGTGGTACATCTCTGGGTTGTGAGTATTCTAGCAAATATCATTAATAGGTATTATAAATAAAGTGGAACTTCTTCTTCTTCTACGGCACTACAGCCCAAAATGAGCCTTGGCCTCCTTTATTTTTTGCCTCCACCCTTGTCTGTCTGTGGCTGCTCTTCTCCATACACGGACTCCTAAAAGTGCTTGTGCGTCGCTGCTTACTGTGTCTTCCCAGCGCTTTCTTGGCTTTCCAACTGGTCTCTTTCCCTGCATTCTGGCGTTCAGTGCTCGTTTTGGTAGCCTATCCTCTCCCATTCGTATCACATGTCCGGCCCATTGCAATCTTTGTATTCTAATGAAGTTTGACAGGGGTGTTTCCTTATACAGTTGATAGAGCTCGTTGTTATATCGAATTCTGAAGATTCCGTTTTCCCTCACAGGTCCTAGTATTCTCCTCAGTACTTTTCTTTCGAATGTGTCGAGTTTGTTTTTGGATGTTTCTTTCAGGACCCATGCTTCGCTGCCATAACATGCTATTGGCCGAATTAAAGTTTTATATATTCTCATCTTTGTATTTCGGTGGACACTTTTAGACCGAAATATATGGGAGAGGGCAAAATAAGCTTTGTTTGCCTGCGTTATCCTTTTTCGTATTTCTCCATCCTCTGCTCCATCGGCATATATTTCTACTCCCAGGTATGTAAACTTTCCAACCGTTTCAATGTCATCTTCATGTATAATGTTTTGTGGGATTATATTTCTTCTCGTCTGTACCATTATTTTTGTTTTTTCTGTGTTAATTTCCAGACCTAGCCTTTTCGTTTGTGTTTTTAACTCTGCGTATGCTTCCTGTGCTCCTGTTGATGTTCTACTCATAATATTAATATCATCGGCGTAGGCAGCCAGTTGAACCGTTTTATTGGTCAGTAGGTTTTCTCGTCCAGTTTGCATTTGCCTGACCGCATACTCCAGTGCCAGGTTAAACAATGTTGGTGCCAGCCCATCTCCCTGCTTTAGTCCCTGCGAGATTTTGAAAAAGTCTGTCCGGTTGTTTTGTATTCGTACACATGCCTGAGTTTCATCCATTGTGGCTTTAATGAGTCTAATTAGCTTATGTGGTATTGCTAATTCTGCCAATATATAGTATAGTCTGTCCCTTTTGACTGAATCGTATGCCTGTTTGAAGTCTACAAACACGTTGTGAACATCAATGTCGTGTTCCCACGATTTGCTCAAGACCTGCTTGACTGTAAATATTTGATCCATTGTCGATCTTCCCCGTCTGAAGCCCGTCTGATATTCTCCAATAATATTTTCTGCTAGTGGTTGGAGTCGCTGGTTTATAATATACGTGAGGACTTTATACGCTGTACATAGTAGAGAAATTCCACGGTAGTTTTTGCATTGGAGTTTGTCTCCTTTTTTATAGATTGGGCATACTATACTTTTCTTCCATTCGTCGGGTATTTTCTCTTCTTGCCATATTTCTTTGATAAGCGCGTGGATATGACTTGATAGGTGGTTGCCACCTACCTTATACAGTTCTGCTGGAATCTCGTCAACTCCCGGGGCTTTATTGTTTTTCTGGGCCTTAATAGCTTCGAGAACTTCCTCTATGGTTGGAGCTTCTACTTCAACTTCGTTCTCTTCTACATGGTTCGTACCCATTTCATCTTCCATATCTACTTGTGTTCCAAGTAGGGTCTGAAAATAATGCTTCCAGGTTTCTGTGACTTTCTGTTGGTCACTGATTATTTGCCCACTTTCATCTTTGCATAGGCTTGTTTGAGGTTTATATCCACTTTTTATCTTTTTTAGGTATTCGTAAGCTCCTCTAATTTCGTTTTTTTTTGAAATTTTGTTCCATTTCTTCTATTTGTCCATTTTCATAAGCTCTCTTTTTGTTTCTGCATATCTTGTCTGCTTTCCGTCTTGCGACTTCAAATGATGTTCGTCTTTCCCGTGTTCTTCTTGTTATGTACATTTTGTGCGCTTCGTTTCTTTCTTCTATCGCTTGCCTGCACTCGTCATCAAACCATGTTCCTCTTCTCTTCTTTTTCTTGTTTCCCACGGTGGACGCTGCTGCTGTCAGCACTGCTGTTTTGATATTATTCCATTTGCTCTCTATGGAGTGCAGTTCTTGTGTCCTTAGCTCATTTGTGACTTCTTGCTCGAACTTCTCTCTACATTCCTGAGTCTTCAGTTTTTCCAGGTCTAGTTTGTTTGTTCTTTGTTGTCTTTCGTTTCTTTCTCTGTTAACTCTGCACCTAAATTTGGTTTGCAGTAAAAGATGGTCTGATCCACAGCATGCTCCTCGTCGTGTTCTCACATCAGAGATACTACTGGCTGCCCTTTTGTCTATCATCACATGGTCAATTTGATTGGTTGTGGTTCCATCTGGTGAGATCCACGTCATTTTGTGTATGTCTTTATGTGGGAAGCATGTGGAGCTTATAACCATGTTTTTACTGGTGGCAAAATTTATCAAAAACTCCCCATTCTCGCTTGTTTCATTGTGCAGTGAGTGTTTTCCTGTTGTGCCATAGAACTGCGGTTCCTTGCCTATTTTGGCATTCATATCACCCATTATAACCTTAATGTCATTTTTTGGCGCGTTGTCATATACTATCTCCAGCTGTTGGTAGAAGCTTTCCTTTGTATGTTGCTCTTGTTCATCTGTTGGGCAGTAGATGTTTATCATAGTAAGGTTGAAGAAGTGGGTGCGAATTCTTAGTTTGCATATCCTTTCATTCACTGCCTGGAAGTCTATGATTTTTGACTTAAAATCATTATCTACCACAAATGCAACTCCACATTCTTTGATTCCTTGTTCTTTGCCACTATATAGAATTGTGTGCGTTTTGGTGTCCCTGACACCTTTCCCCAGCCATCTTGTCTCCTGAAGAGCAGTGATCATAAGATTATATCTTTTTAGTTCTTGTAGAAGTGCAGTTTGAGCTCCTGGTCTATTTAGCGTCCTCACATTCCAACTTCCAAATGCATAGTCCATGTTTCGTAGCTTTAGTCGTTTCCGAAAGTTCCCCTTGTTCCGAGGCAAATGTTTAGGTTTCATAACAGTGTGTTTTTCCGGGAGTGGGTTGTTAGCCCACTGCCCAACCTTCCTCCTTTACCCGGGCTTAGGACCGGCAATGGTGACTCCTGAGCTATTCAATCCACCCATTAGTCACCACAGGCGGAGTTAAAATGGAACTTAGAACTGATATTTGGGGTGCCCCATTTTCCTGAACGTAGATTGAGGAAGCTTTCCCATTTTCCGGAAACTAATACTTTAATGCGGCGATTAAAAAAAAACTGTTTGATAAAAGATAATGTATTTCCCGCAATATTGTATTCTTTTAATTTGGTCAATACAGTAGAACGTAATAGAGTGTCGAAGGCGCTCTCGATGTCAAATGATGTTGCTATTAAATCTTGCTTATTTTGAAAGGATGTTGGGATCTGTGCTTGTAACATTAGTAAGTTGTCAGCCGTGCTTCGTGATGGACGGAATCCGGACTGAACTGAGTCTAAAATTCTGTGTTTTTCTTGGTACCACATAAGTCTTTTATTTATTATTTTTTCTAGCAGCTTACATAAGGTGCATGTCAGTGAAACAGGACGGTAGGAATTTGGACTATTTCGGAATTTGGCCTGTTTCTTTTGTGGTATAACAATAGATTTTCTTCATGATATTGAAAATTTCTGATTAGTCCGTATTATATTGTTTAATATAGGAAGTTTTTTACGACAGATACGGAAAGATTTTTAAGGAATATGAAGGAGATGTTATCGAGACCTACAGTTGAATTTTGGCAAGTTGGAAGAATATTTAAGAGTTCCTGTAGTGTAAATGGAGTGCTTAAGAGAGTAGAGCCAAATTTGAGAAATTGGAAAGGATATTATATAGGGGGATTTTTTTCTTTAAGTATATTTTGTTTTTAAATCGTTGATAAAAAATTTTCGCTGATTACATTAACGATTTGTTAAATCAATTTTTATGTACAATAACTAGAATTCTTATGTACGTATTTTCCCTGTATTTGATTAATTTTCTTTCAAACTTGGGAAGGGGCAGTATGATGAGTTAAAGTGGAAATGTAGTTTTTCGATGAGTGTTTCTTACTTTGTTTTAAGATATACCTCGCCTTTGCTTCAAGTTTTTTAAAACAAATCAAGTTTTCGTCATTGTTGTTTCAGCAGTACTTATAAAGAACAGCTTTGTATTCTTTTACAGAAGTTGCACAACGTTTATTCCACCAATGTATTAATTTTCTTGTAGACGTTAGTAACATTATCTAATTGTTTTGTTTTATATTTAGGTGATGGAAAACTATGTACAAAATCTGAGTACAATTCCAGTCGATACTGTCCTTGTGACGTCGATTCTTATGTAAAAACGTTACAAACAAAAATAGATAACAACACAGACACTTCAACCGTAAGTTGTCCAAAAATGATAAGTTTTCATGACGGGTTTCTGATTACGAATAAAACCGAACCTCTTAGAAGAAAGAAGAGAAGCTTGTTATATATGAGCAATGTTGGTAAAGAGTCAAATGTTCTAGAAAACGATAATATCGAAGATGTGTTGGACAAAGATTATGAATTAACAAGTACAGGTATAGTATTTTTTATAATATTTCTTTCTTGCTTACTTTTATACCTTTGTCTTTAATTGCCGTATTGCCAGATTCCAGGAAGAGTCTAAGTAGATCCATTGAATCCTGACAGGCAACGGTGGGGGAAATCTTTTTTGGACATCTACCTCACGGAACAAGACACCCTGGCATCTTTCGGCCGAGTAGAATACTAGGTCAGAAGACCCCAGGGTAGTGTCGGATTAACCGTGTTCCGGCTAAAACCTTAACCACCATTCCAGAGAGGTGGTCTTGACACTCAATAGACAAAATAAAATAAAAAACGAAAAATTTATAAATAGCCATACTTATTACTGTAAATCAGAAAATGTTTCAGACGTTAGGCCATAAACTAATAAATAATATTAACCATAAATTTCAAATCCCTGGCTCAATTTCCTTCTCTGTCCTCCCGCTCCTTTTTCTTCATTAGCCCAGAAATCAGATAGTGTACTTATCTCCATTGTTTCTCTCCTCTCAACATTATGTTTACAATGTTTCTTGCATCCAGCACGAAACCCATTTTATAAGATAATTTTACCTGTATACCTAGTTTTTGTAATTTCAAGACTAAGTAGATGGAGAAGAGGGTGATTTACATCATATAGGTTACAGTTACATCAAAAATTTAACTTACTCATCTGGATTAATAAAGGATTTATTCAAACGTAACAGCTTTTTGGAATATAATAACTTTATTGTTTATTACCTAACTTAATAGAAATATACCACATTAATTGAAATTTTGTAAACAGCAAATGGTCATTATAAGTCTCCTTTTCTTTACGTGCCATCTCCGCGACGGAGGTTGGCAATCATCAGTCCGCAACCATGAGATTCTTCTCCTTCCTACACTTCTCTTGCTTTGGATGTTCCCTTGTATAATTAATTAAAGTATGTTGTATCTCTCATTATGCATAACATGCCCCAGGTATTGCAGCTTTCGTATCTTGATGGTTTCCAATATTTCCATTCTTTTGTTGACTCTTCTCATGACTTCGTTGTTTGTTACATGCTCGGTCCATGATATCTTCAGGATTCTTCTATACACCCACAGTTCAAATGCTTTCAACTTTTTAGTAGTCGACGCGTTAAGTATCTATGCTTCTATCCCGTGAAGCAGAGTCGAGAAAATATAACACCTTGCCAGCCTAACTCTCAAGTCTAATTTCAGTTCTCTTGCACAAAGTACTTTTCTCATTTTATTGAAGTTTGTCCGTGCTTTCTCTATTCGAAGTTTGATTTCTTTGAAGTAATCGTTTGTGTCATTAATTATTATGTCAAAATATTTGTAGTTTTTAACTTGTACTAAAGTTTTACCGTTAATTGTCAGGCTTTCATCATTATTTTGGTTTTTTCTTTCATTCTCTAGCATTTTTCTCTTTTGAGAGACAAATAAATATTGACCATTCAATGAATATGTCAATCGACTGATAAATTTCATTAAAGAGCTTTAAGAGGACGTCCATGTACTCATTTTCTATTATAATATTTCTTCCTTTGTAATTTCTATTCTTGTTTCTTGTCCAAGAGCTCTTTCATATATTTGTTCCATCGTTTTAGCTTTACGTCAGTAGTTATCATAGTATTTCCATTTTTATCTAAAAGAGTTGTGTTTTTTATCTAAAAGAGGTTTGTTTTTTGCAGCTCTGTCATTGCTTTAACCTTTTTATGTAAATTGAATTGGTCGTATTTGTTCCGAAGATCTTCTATCTCTTTACATTTTTCCTCATAATAAGTTTGTTCTGCCTCTCTTATCATTTTTCTGATTTCATTGTTAATGATTTTGTAATCGTGACTGTCCTTGTTCTTGGTTTATCTTCTTTGGTCCATCCTGTCGAGTATTTCGTCGGTAATCCAGTTATCTCTCTTTCTTATCGGTTCTTTTACTACCTCTTTGCATGGAATGAGGAGGCAGTTTTTTAATGTTTTCCATGGTTGGCTTATCTTGTATATGTTAGTATCTAATTTATAAAAGTTTTCGTATATTTTCTGTTGGAGTTTGTTTTTTATATCAGCTTCTTACAGTTTTTTAACATCTAATTTTGTAGTTCTTTGGGGTTTTCTAATACGTTTAAGCTTAAGCGTGATATTAGAGATTAGTGGGTTATGGTCTGATGTGACATCTGCTCCTGAATATGTTTTAACTGATTTTATAGTGTTATGATTCTTTAGTCATTATATAATCAATTTGGTTTCTCACAATTACAATCACAACGTGTTTGTGATTATTAGACTTTGTTTTTGGCAGCATTGTATTAGACGATCTCCTCTATCGTTACTTCCCCCTACTCCTTGATCTCCCAATATTATTCCAGCCCTTCCCTTGTCGACTTTTGCATTAAAATCGCCCATAATTACCGTGACTTTCCTGTTCTTTGTCATTTTCAGTGCACCTTCAATTTGTTGGTAGAATGTTTCTACTTCATCTTCTGTTGCATTCGTCGTTGGCGCATATACTTGAATCAAATTTAGTTTTGTGTGTGATGTCCTTATTTGTAGTAGCATCACTCTTTCTGAGATTGGGACAAAACTGTCTATTGTCTTGTTGACCTTTGTATCGACAATAATTGCTACTCCACGTCTATGCTGGTTGCCAATGTTTTCCGACTAATATAAGGTACCGGTATTTGTCCTTAAGAGTATCTTTCATTAATAAGTTGGAGGCCTTCGAAATGTGGATGTTGCGAAGAATGTTCCGCATACCATGGACAGATAGGGTGAGAAACGAGGAAGTCTTAACAAAGGCAAATACTGAGAGAGAACTACTCAATTTGATCAAGGTACGAAAAAATTGATACCTCGGCCATATTCTGAGAGGAAAAAAGACGCAATACCCCAACTAATCATCCAGGGAAAGATTAAAGGCAACAGAGGAGTAGGTCGCAAACAAATGTCGTGGCTACGGAACATAAAGAACTGGACAGGCATAAATAACATTGTCGATCTTTTGTATGCCGCAAAAGACAGGCGTCTGGCCTTAAGATAATTCGCCAACGCACTATACTATAAGAAGAAGATTTCTGTCAAAAGGTATCCTGAGTTAGGCCACCATGTTTCGCTTACACCTAATATACTTATATTCATTCTTCTTATTTCTTGAAGGATGTTATGCATTTTACCAAGTTGATACATGTTTTTGATGTTCCACGTACTTATTTTTGTTTTTGACAATTTTACTTTGTCTTCTTTCGATGTTTGACAAAGGTTTCGCCGGTTAACGACCTGGGAGTCCTTGTCTGTTCCTCCCCTGCCGGATCTTGGGCTCCGATTCCCATGATTAGTTTCTTTTTTTCTTTTAGTACTCATTGCCATGATGATTGTACTAGAGATATCCAATTGGATCTTTAATGCAGTGGTTTCTCTTTGCCTTCTGCATCCTGATGCCGTTGACCATTTACTTGATTCATTTTCTTTTGGTGCCAATTTCTTAGCGCGAGGACATAAGAGTGCCCTTTGACTTACCAACTTTGTCATTCGCCCAAAGCTGTTGGTCAGTAAGTGTGGGATTGCTTATATCGGCAATTGCTCGGTGGAATTTTCGCTATATATGGCTACCCTTACTTGGTTTGTCGTGCAGACTAATGCAGTTGTCCGGGTGTAGCATGTGGAGCTATAAGTGAGAGTTAGTTGTCATATGAGGACCAGTTATCAAGAAGCATCTCTAGTCTATGACGCTCGATGTGTTCATTCCGATAAAAGGTGCTACCTCTATAACACAACTCTACACCCGCTAGTGTAAAATTTCTCTACAAAATTGAAATTAACCTCGTTACCTTTCCTCTCCGAAAGATTACAAGATGCACAATAAGTAGAATATATACTTCTATGATCTCCTTAAAGCCATCCTACAACGAAAAATATTTGGAAAACGTGGTCCAGGAAGAAGAAGAACTTGGTTAAAGTTCTGGAACTAAGAAGTGACCAAGTCCCTGGGCGAGAAAAGTGTATTCCTGTTCTAAAGTCGATGATATCACACTCCTAACCACCGCTTCAAAGTGGTAATATAGATAGTACTGTCACCATTTTTGTATATCATATACACCACAGACACACCAACTATATCGCAAACTATGCTCAATCTATATATCGATGACACAGTAATAGCTACGAGAAGTCTGGATCCAAACTGAGAATATGTCCTCAACATGCGCTATATCAGTTGGAAAAATGGTGAATTCAATGCAAAGTCGTACTAAATCCAGTGAAGTCACAGGCATATATGCTAAAGGAGGCTGTGAACATCACCATACACGTATCCAAAAGGTTCGTATACAGAGAAGCAAAGGAGGAAACAGTCCTAGATAAAATTAATGAAGAAGTGTGTGGAAGAAACGCGTTTTTACGCATCTGGAGTGTAGTAAGCATTTCCTCGCGGAAGGACAATTCTAATTCTAATATTTGTATGATGAGATTAGTTATGGACTCATATTTTCAAGGTCAAGTATTTATGAACGTATTTTCAAGGCCAACCATTTAAATATTAGTAACTAGTGTCTGAAAGTCATATATTTTTTATCTCGGCTTCATATAAAATATTAAGCCTTAGATAAAATTTTAAAATTAAGCACATGAAATACAGTAGTATTAAAGACGTTTTTTTACTAATTTTAGGACCAAATGTGTTGGTATATCCAAACAAAAAGGCAAGAATATACTGTATAAATGAAGCCGATAGACTTTTAGATTCAAAAGACGTAACTTTCAAGTGGGAATATACTAAAGATAATGAAGGAAAAGGTAAGTTTAACATACGTTTCGTTTTGAGAGTCTTATTGTGCAACTAGTAATTCTGCCCGTGCGTCTTTCCTTGTTCGAACAAACTCCTTACATTCCATGTCTCGAAATTTAAAAAGGATGTGTTCTCTATATAGTTAGTTGCCACAACGGGTGGCTCCTCCTCGCGGAGATTCTTAGTACCCCTCGACTATTAAAGATCCGCCGCGGACAAGGGACCATGTGATTGACCGTACTTTGCATGGTGTTGTTCTTTAAATGTAATGTGGTGGTTTCTCGTTGCCTTATACATCCTTACGTCGTCGACCACTAATAGGTTCATCCGCCTTTGGAGCCAATTTCTCAACCCCAGGACAAAAAAGTGCCCTACCACTTACTAACTCATCCGCCGGAAGCCGTCGGTCAGTTAGTGAGGGATTGCGTATACCGGTAATCACTCGGTGAATAAGAATGTAGGAGAAAGAAATATAGTGACCCGTCTGCTTTTGAAAACATAATAACCAGTCGGAGTCGGAAGAGACAAGAGTTAGCCAAGAGAGCTGATAGGAAAGATTAAAGACATTTTACTCTAGATAATTTAAAAAAGAATAAAATGTGAAGCGCCAGGTGCATTTTATAAGCTTATGAGTATTAGTACACTTGGTGTTTCCGATCATACCTCGGGGTGTTGACTACAGACTGTATGGCTCGTCCAGCATGACATAGCGTGGAAGGCAGTGTGCACGTCATTTTTTTTAATGTAGACTCCCAACTCCATGGCCTGACGCCTTACCTTAATTTACAGGTCGAATTTATTTCTACTACAAAGATAATATCCGGTAATTTTGCCTGCGCATCAAGCGAGTGTGCCGATTTTAGGATTTTCAAAGTTATTTCTAGTTTTGTCACAGTATAGCTTGTCATTTGATAATGTTTTTCATTGTAAGGTTATGGAACTACAAGAGGCATATAAATGAATAACTTTATTAAATGCAATAATAAAATCACGATAGTTTTTCAGTAGTTTTTTATATTTAGTAATTTTGTTCTGCATATAAATTTTCGATTTATGATATAATTCATATAAATTTTATGATATATAAATTTTCGATTTATATGATATCATACCTATGACATTCATGATATGCAATGAACTGAGTAGAAATAATGAAGTATGCTGCTAATTTACATTATTTTTGGCTATTTCAGAAGTTTCTGTTGAGTAGCAGCTTCTGCTTCTGTTAAAACATCACCAAATGGTAATAAAATCCAACATTTTCTTCAAATTTAATATTCGTACATGTTTAATTTTAGGTGAACTTTTACCATTTTCCGAAAATCCTTTAGTTATTCAAAACGCAGACGAGAAAACCACCGGAAACTACACTTGTACAAAAATCAAAAACGAAACCTTCGAAAATTATACACACGAGATGCAACTAATAACATTCCCGGTATATAAAATTAAACTTGAAATATTATATTGGATTAATGATAGCTGTTCCTTACAAACGGGGGATATTTTATTTGCATACTTGCCGAAAATAATTGGCCCTGTACTCTGTGGTGGTAATGGAAGATTGTGTCACGTGGATATCGAAAGACCTCGTTGTTTCAACAAAGTAAGCTAAGACTATAATGTTAAATTTCTTTTTTTACATTTTCGTCAGTTAAATCTGAAAATTCGTTTTTATTTGTATATTCAATGTTATAAAACTGAAACTAAAAAAAGAGTCGGCGTTTGAAAGCGACGAATTTATTATTGCGGAAAATACATCAGAGATTTTTTTTTACTAAAGACACCGAAGTATACTTACATTAAAGTCTGGTCAGTAAGACCAATTATCCATTTGTTTCTAACTTAAATTACTACTGAAAACTTAAAATTAGGTGTCTACTCACTAGTATCTTTCCTATTATTTCTAATAACTAGCATTAAATTTAGAATGCATACTCGCACAACACTTTGCTCTGCTTCTCACTCACTCACTATACCAGTTCAAAAGGCTTTGTCCTTTTGAGCCTTCTCTCTAGGTTCGTATTGTCGAGAAACTGGATAGCCTCGACGTTTACATGATGATGGAGTCGTTTTTCATGGCTCCATGCAAATTTCTTGATTATCTGATTGACGTCTTCCATCTTGAGGTCCCGGTGAAGATCGTTGTTCCTAACGTACCAAGGCGCATCTACGATGTTCCTCAGCACTTTATTCTGGAATACCTGGATTAGTTTGATGTTACTAGGCTTGGCACAGCCCCAGAGTTGGCAGCCAAAGGTCCATACTGGCCTCAGTATTTGTTTATAGATTAGAAGTTTATTATTTATGGATAGAGAGGAATGACTTCCCATCAACCAATACATTTTCTTGTAGCGGATGCCTAGTTCTTCTCTTTTCTTCTTCACGTGAGCTTTCCAGCGAAGCTTCGCATCAAGAGTAATTCCCAAGTACTTTGCTGACGTTGTCATAGGCACTTGGATATCATTTATTCTAATTGGAATATTATTAATTCTCTTATTGGTAAAATTTATATGGACTGATTTATTCTTATTCAGCTTAATTTTCCATTTTTTGGTCCATTCATGGATTTTATTTATTGAATTTTAGTAGTTTTTCCGTAGCTTCTCGACGGTGTTATCTACTGCTAAGACAGCAGTGCCATCTGCGAAGGTAGCTATGGTGTCGTCTTCTAGTTAACCCAATACACTCCCTTGTGGAACACCTGCTTCAATATTCTTGAGATCAGTGTATGCATCTTCTTGTTTAACTCTAAAATGTCTGTTCGCTAGATATGATTGTAATATATTAGAATATTGTTTAGGCATAAATGATTTAAGTTTATGTATCAAACCCTTATGCCAGACTTTATCAAACGCCTATGCCACATCTAGGAAGGTTGCAGAACAGACTTTTTTTTCTCTAATGATCTTTCAATTATAGCAGTTATTCTATGCACGTGATCAATTGTCGAATGCTTATTTCTAAATCCAAATTGATGATCTGGAATTAGTTTCTTTTCTTCAATTATTGGTAGATTCTTCGCAGGAGGAGTTTTTCAAACACCTTGGACATCACAGGTAGGAGTGATATTGGTATATATGATGTCACCTCATTGGGGGGTTTCCCAGGCTTTGGTATCATGATCACCTCAGCTCTCTTCCATAAATCTGGAACCTATTGTAGTCTAAAGGCAGTATTTATTAAATTTGTTAATTTTACGATAGCTTTTCTTGATAGATTTTTTAGCAGTCTTCTGGTAATGAGGTCATAACCTGGTGCTTTATTTGGGTCGATTTGTTCTTTAATTAACTTAGCTACTTTTTTTGGGGAAGTTGGCTTGATCTTCTCATCTATTTGCTCTGGTTCGAGCCAATCCTGGTCATCGTCTTGGTCATCTTGCAACTTAAATGTGTTCTCTAGATAAGTGGCAAATCTCTCTGCCTTCTGCTGATTATTTCTGGGCCAACTACCGTCTTCCAGTTTTATTGGAGGAGAACGTAATATTGGCCTTTTAATTCTTTTTGTAGCTTTGCAAAGCGAGTACTCTGTGCTACTGTCGTTTGTTAGCTCTTCCACATAAGATTTAATAGATTCATTCTTAATTTTCTGGATTTAAGTTGCTGGCTGGCATTGTTTAGGTTAGTTTTGTCTCGAGGGGCTCTCGTTTGCTGCCATTTTCTTCGTAGTTTTCTTTTTTCTTTTATTCATTCACGAATTTCTTTAGGTTAGTTATTCCCTTTAACTTTTCTTTTCAGTGGCACGGCTAAATTGATCTTTTCTTCAAGAGTTACTTTAAAACGTTCCCAGTCTGTAAGCTTATTAGTTAAGGTTGGGTTGTTCTCTTTTCTAATAATCATATCACTCATGGTTAGAATTATAGGTGAATGATCAGAGTTCATATCCCATCTTTCACAAATGTCCAAGTAATTGGATGAGATATTTTTAATTATGAAGAAATCTATTAAATCTGGTAGTTTATTTCTATCAGTTGGCCAGTAAGTTGGCGTCCCTGTAGATATTACATCTCCTTTCTGATCTTTGACAGCTGCTAATAGTTCTTTTCCTTTGGTAGTTGTAAGCCTAGACCCCCATTGAATGTGTTTCGCATTGAAATTACCCCCAATGATATATCTATTGCCTAAACTTTTCATAAAATTGATATACTGATGTTTTTTATAATATGTCTAGGAGGACTATAAAATACACTTACGTTTATTTCTGCGTCTTTAATCCTAATACATACTGTGGTAGCTTGTATGTGTTCGGTAACATACTTCATCTCTTCATGGTGTTTGATGTTGTCTCTGACTATCACTGCACTACCTCCTTTCCACTATTGTCCGGATGTACTGTGTGATATACCTTATATCCATGAATTCTAATGTATGATTGATGGGTGAAGTGTGTCTCAGAAATTAAACACACATGTATCTTTTCAATATCTAGTATTGCTTGAAGCTCGCTATGATGTTTCAGCAGTCCATTGGCATTCCATTCAATTATTCTAATTTCTTGGACCATTACTTGATTTTGGAATAGCTCCTTTGGCGCTGTGTTCCAGACGAGTAATCCTGGTATTAAAATTCTCTTCCATCTTATCTAATTTTTCTAATATTAATCTAAGTATAACATCTGTTGCATTTTCTTGTTTAGCTGGTCCAGCATTTTTGACCACATCACTAAATTTTCTGCTTTACCACAATGCAAACACTTTTTTTTCCTCTTTTGGTTTTACGCAGTCTTTTGTCAAGTGTTCTCCAGTAGACTTGACACATCTTGGTGCTTTTCTACAATATCTTTGAGTGTGTCCATATGTTTGGCATCTCTTGCATTGAGGCACCAACCTTGTACTTTTAAGTGGCTGTACTTCAACTCTCATACTAAGTATGTCTGTTATTCCAAAGATCTTATCTATATTGTCGTAATTTCTGAAAGTTAAAATAAACATATCTAAAGGCTCGTTAGACTGTCTCTTATAGTTTGGATCCGCCTGTACAGCTTTGTATCCTCTTTTTTGTAAATCTTTGACTATTTGTTATGATGTAAAGAAGTGGTGTAATTTCTTTACCATTACCTGTATGGGACGCTCCTGTTTATTCTCATAAGTGTAAAATGATACTTCATTCGATTCTAATAATTTTACTAACTTCCTAAAATTGTCACGAGAAATTTAAAATATAAACTTGTTAAAAAGATACCGATTTCAAATATTTTGGTAAAAGAAAAACTTTAAGTAGTGAGTTGAGGCCAGCGCTAATTTGTGACACAGGCTTCTTTTCGACTATGCGTGTAAAAACAGTTCCTAGAATAATCACATAAAATGTGGTAAACTATGTTGCCCTTTATACATTTTGTATATACAAATTTCACAACGTTGACATTGACTAATCTCGACAAAGATTTTTACCTTGGCCGGCCAATCACAGCGCTCGTTATTAACTACGCTATCATTGGCCTCTCGGCGGAAGATTGCTGCAAATTCTCAAACACGAAGTGTATAAAAGAGCATCACATCTTCCGATCGGGACTTGAGCCGACGACACAGCGATAGCGACCAAACACAGAAATGTAGACATAGCAGTCACCAACCTACAGACAGCATTAGACGACATAGAAGAATGAAGTCTAAAGTGAAAAATTGCAATAAACTCAGACAAGACGCAAGCCGTACTCTTTAAAAAGAGGCGAGAACAACCGGAAGAACACGTAACTGTGCAAGACAATCCCATCGAGTGGAAAAGTGAAACAGAATACCTCGGTGTAATAATGGACAAAGGATTAACTTTTAACAAACACGTAGAAGCCACAATACAAAAAGCCAATATGGCAAGAGCCGCAATAAGAGGCCTAGCAGGAAGGAAAAGCAAACTTCGCATCAAAACCAAAATAAGATTAATAAACAGTATAGTCCTTCCCATACTGACCTACGCGTCACTTGCATGGGGACATATATGCAACACAACCAAAAAGAAAATACAGGCACAACACATCAAAAGCCTAAGAGAAGCGGTAAACGTACCAAGATACGTAGCTGAAAGATTCCTTTTCAGAGAATTACAGCAAATCAGAGTGACTGACACAATGAAAGAAAAGGCCAGGATTGAGTTCGCAGAATTAGAGAACCACCCCAGTCACATACTACGAGAGACAATGAGGTATGACGCTTTCCACAGATGGAAGCACAAAAGACCTAAACAACAGATAATCGACTAAAAGAAAACCAGAGAGAGAAATAAAAAACCCCCCCAGAGTGTAAAGAAACTCCAAAATCATAACACTCACACAAGGAAGATAGTTCGTAGCTCAAATCACCCAGAATATCGCACATCGCCTCGTACACAGTGGGCCCAGCTGCTCAACAAGGATACAATCTATATTGTGGTATCGTATAATATTTATATATTTTCTTTATTATAATATAGATTATATACTAATTATGACTTTTGTCCACAGGTCACCTACAAAAAAAACCACAAAAAACAAAAAACCGGACTCGACCACCAAAAAAATCAAAAAAATACTAACAAAAACCGGCTTCGGCCACCAAAAAAAAAACTAACAAAAACCCCAAAACCCGGGCACGTAGGGCCCAATCCCTTGAGCACCAAGTCGCCGAACTGAGCC